TACACTTGAGCATTGCAACCTAACAACTTTACAGTAAGCAGTTTTTGGTATTTGGTCTTTTCTTGAGATAAGGCTGAGATGAAATTAGCTGGATTAGAGAATGGTTAAATCAGTCCAGAAAAAATAATGCTCTGCATTGAAAGAGAAGCTACATAATAGTGATGACATCAATGACACTTTCAGTGTTCTTAAAAGGTCAAGCTCTGCAAATTGGATTTGTTTATAAGACTTGATTCTAAACTCAACCTTTGTGCTGCAGTTTTTAAGGCACTGTTACGGTAGCTGGGGTTTTAATGCATAGAGTTAAGTGTAGAGGATATTTTATTACATTTCAAAGCAAATTACTCAAGTTTCATAATAAGAATTGTAAAATTAAATATTCCTCCTTTTACTTTTTACATAAGAAATTATTAAAAAGGAAAAAATATTAAGCATTTTGCCTTTAACTATTGTACAAGGCTTGAAAACATCTAGATAATTACTTTTAGCTCAAATTGCATACCAAACAAAAGTGTGAATCTATTCTAATGAGCCACTCAGATCCTGTCTGTACCTTTAATACACAAAGAACATCAACATCAAGATGAAATGTTCTACACAGATACTTTTAGAATTAACAAAATGACTATTAGGTTGTTGATACTAAAAGTCATTTTTCATTTTTTGATAACTATAGTCCCTGTATGAAACAGTTCTATAATTCAAATCTGAGATAAATGAAGAATATGTGGAATCTTTGCCATTGAGATAGAATTATTCTAGAATCACAACACATGATAAAACATGCAGTCACTCATATCCTCATCCATTATATGTTAATTATAGTTGTTTTTATATAAAAGGATGGTTTTTCTTATAATTCATAGTGTGCTAGTTTGAGTTGTGTAATAAAGGAAGTACAAGCATCTAAGTTAAATAATTTGTCCTGATATGAAAGCAACTCATATGTATGAATAGAAAGTTTAGAGAAAAAAATCCAGATAAGTGTTTTTAAAAACCAAACAGTCACAAACAATACCACTACTTAGAGATTACTACAATTAAATTAAGCTTTAAGGTGATACAATGTGAATGATTCTTCCTTGATTCTTAAAGCAAATGAGGTTTAATACTACCTTCTTGTTTGGCAAATTAACACAAATTTCCTATTGAAACAGTTCATCAGTATCAAGAAAAGGGTGAATCTTTCTATATTTGAATTTTTACTTTCTGAGTGAAAGTCAGGGAGATTAAAAAAATACATAATTTATCTACCTCCAGCTGGTATAGTATTTTATCTTAAAGGACATTTAGTATCAAGAAAAGGGTGAATCTTTCTATATTTGAATTTTTACTTTCTGAGTGAAAGTCAGGGAGATTAAAAAAATACATAATTTATCTACCTCCAGCTGGTATAGTATTTTATCTTAAAGGACATTGTAGTATATATACAGTATAACTTATTTTTGTTTGCTATTTCCTCAATTTCCATAAAGACTAATCTATTAATTAATAATTCACATTATTTGGGAAGTACAGATTCTTTGAAAGCCAATTCAATGGACTCTTCATAACCTTAAATGCTTTTATTGCCTTATGGGGGATTTTTCTTCATATTGTGAATTTTGGGAGATGAACCACTGAAGATACAGGAAAATAAATAATTATGCCTCTGTTTCCCTTTATACATCCAGTTTCCTTTATACATAGCCTGAAATTGCATTTCCCCCAACTCCCTCAATACCACTTTATAATATAAATTCGCATCTTTTTGTTTTTCTTTGTTAAGGCAGGCCTCTGTGAGACCTCTAGCACTCCAGGCTTCTCCTGTCTGTTATATTCCAGTATTTCTGATTGTTCTTCCCTTTTTCCCCAGAGATAAATGTCTTCATTCTTTTTCTCTGTATCTGTACCTCTGTCTATCTATGTATCTCTAACCCTCTCATTTTCTTTCATTATCATTCTCAGTATGCATTTCCAGCTTCTTTAGCCACATTTCTGTTGTTACATTGTCTTAATGGTCCCAGCAATATTTCCTTCAAGTGTAGGCAGGATTCTTGTACCAGTCTGACACAAGCAGCCTGAGATGAAATGTGATCACCCAGCTAACCCTGTTAGAGAGCTGTGATCAATAAAGCATGTGGCCAGCCTGGGCCCTACAACCAGCCATCAAACTAAGCATTATTTGTAGCAGAAAATCATTTTAACTAGTTGTTCCTTGTACAAGGAGATAAATCAACTACAAAAAGACTTGCTACTGGAAACATTTTCCTATAGCAATGACAGGCATGATAGAATTTCAGAACAGAATCCCACAATCCATCAGAATAGAATTCGCTCGCAGCATAGCCCAGGGGCCTGTAGGCCCCCTGCTCATCTAAATGTAACACTTTGGTCACTAGATTATGAAGTGTTTGGGGGAATTAAGGGAGTCTGAGTGAGGAACAAGGGTGTTCAGGATGTCAGGGAGGGCACAAGAGGAGCTGGGGGCAAAGACTTTCTGCCAATCAGTAATGCGAGGTTTCAATAAACAGTATGGTTGGATTTTGCCTACCAGGTCAATGTCAGCCTTTCAGATGATAAGTTTGTCTGACCTGCATTCTGTCTTCCTTTTCTCCTGAGACCAAACATACACATATATAGACATATAATCCCCATTTTACAGATGAGGACATTGAGACTCAGAGAGGACAAGTCCCAAGGGCCAGTGCTGGGTGGAAAGCCAGGACTGACTGACTCCAAAGACAAAGGAGTTGGGACTAAAATTATTACACAACCTTATTCACTTATGTTCTTTAATATTTGCTAGGGGATCTTACAGATATTATTTGGTTCTTTTGGCAACCTTATGAAATAGTGTGGACCTCATTATCAATTGCCTTTTAGGTCTGGGAAAACCGAGATTTAGAGAAGTAATTTCTATAGGGATACTGAAAGGGTCAATAAAAGATGGAAGCACATTAGGTTGTAGAATCTGGATTCACATACTGTCAGAATCTCTGCTCTGCTACCACCATGATACCCTGAACACTGTCCCAACAATGCCTGCTCTTCTCTCCAAAGATGGCTATGATAGATAATCCATGGACAATGGTCATACACGTGCAGTTTCACTTCCTGGCACTGGGTTAGCACTCAGCCAATTATACTCTCCCACCTGATTTTCCTTAAGACCAGTGGCAAATAAATGATCAGTTAACTAGGATTAGAGGGAAGACTCTAGCCATGCAACAGAACCACACCAACTAGAGTATAAGGAGTGAAATACTCTGACTGTAATTCTAAAATCCACATGTTTTATGTACCATTTATGTTAATTTTGAATTTCTTTTCTGGGAGTTGTATTTTGACTTTGTATCAAATATCTTATTTAAATGCAAACAAATAAATCTTCTTATGTTACTTATATGCAATATCCAATATCTTAGACTGGTTACAAATGTCATGGCTTCCTTGAAGCCTTCCCTACCTGCCCCAGACAGACTAGTCAGACCCTTTGCTGTTCCTAAAGCACTTTATGCATACCTTAACTTATCCACCTAGATAGTGCTACAAGTATTTGTTGTATTTCAGATTGACCCATAAGGACTATTACTCTTTTTCTCCCCATCAGCTAGATTATGTTTGGCATAGGTAAAGTGTCCAAGAAACAATTATTGACTTAATTAATTAATTAATACACCCACTGAAAAATAAAGGACATGTTCACTAGTTTGGAAAAGAGTTCAGTAATGTCATTTTTAGTGATGGACATGATGGAAAAATTTTGTCTGTCTTGGAACTTTATGTTTTTGATTAACCAAATATAGGGAATGAAGGTATAATAACCATATCTTATTATAACATCTATAAATCAGTTTTTTTGTAAGTATAATTATTTGGTATTTAATTGCAAAAAATCTCCTGGGATAAAAATAGTATTCAACAACCTAAATTAATTAAAGAAAAATTACATGGACATTTTAAATGGTGATGTTTATTTGTATATATTTTCTTGGAAAGACATCTATATGTGTTGTTCAGTGAATAAAGAGAAGATAAAAAGTAAGTCTGTATAGTTATAAGAAAAATTCTAGATGAATAATACTGGGAATAATAATAATACTTATATCCTTTCTTTATAATGAATAATCACAAATTCCCAGGTATGGAGTTGTCTTCACACATCATTTTAATCTTCACAATAACTCCATTAATTAACTAATTCATCATTAATTAATTCAACTTTCAACTTATATTTCTTGTCTCAGGCATTGTGCTAAACACTAGAGATACATCAGTGAACCAGACATACACAGTACCATGTTTTGTCATTATCCTAACTCTACAGATGAAAATTAGAGAGACTGGCCTACCCATCAAGGGTAGCATTAAGTGAATGTAGCCCGCCAGAAACAAAATAATATATACACTGCCACTGTGATTAGGGTGATGCGAAAAGAGGGATGCACAGAGGAAGAAGCCAAGCAAAATTACAACACAACACTAACAGTATTTGAGTCAGAATGGTTGGCTTGGTAAGGCCCTTTTTTTCTTTCTGTTTTTCAGATTTTCTGTGCTTGTTATTCTTGGAATAAAATGAAATACATTTGTTAGACTGAAAAAGGAATTATATTCAGTTGATAAAATATTTAAAATGTAAAAACCAGTCAATCATCATCCTAAAGTAATAGACTTAGCTCCATATTTCTTTGTTTAGGTAAATGTATTTTACATAAAATTTAACTATGTTAGGAGCTAGGTGTTCTCAAATTAGTTCAAAACACACACATGGACTGGAAGATGGGAATGCAGAGTAGAGAGAAGCTCTGTTTCACTTCTGAAAGTCAGCCATGTAACTAGAAGAATTTCCCCTGGGCTCCTGCTCATTGCTGCCCTGACACCACTATTTCAGGAACTTCCTAGGTCTGGGCTCCCATTGTAGGATGGGAATACTATAGCTCAACTCCTTTTACATGTTATTTGTCTGTAGTTATTTCAGAGTGTAGCTATTTAAGGCTTAATTTTCTTTCAAAACTCACGTTTTGGGCTTTATATGATCCTTCTTTAGCCAAGGACTCATATAATTGGATAGCTGCTGTTATGTTCTGCATGCCAAAATTCCCAAATAGAAAAGCAATTCTCCATAGCTTTCAAATTTCCCAAGTCAGCTGCTTTGGCAAAGAGTATGTAGGTTCTGTTCCAAGAATATGAAGTTAGAAGCTTGATTATCAAAAATGAAATATTCTGCTCCTTCCTTCATACTACTTCTCTTTAACAAGTAAGACCCAGTTGTCATTGCTACTAACAATACGGTTTAGTGGCAGTCCATTACATCTACACCAGTAGATATTTTTTTCATCCCTAGATTGGTCTAAGATAATAATATCTAATATATCTGACAAATAATGAAGCTGTGAAAAAGAGAAATGTATAGGATACATCATGCTTCAACCTTATACACAGTGAGAAATGAAAAATTGAGGCATTTGTCCCAAAATAGTGCAATCTTTCATGGCCACCACCATTATATGAGTATTTGTTGTATAAAATGAACTCTGAAATATATAATCATACAACCAAACCAATCAAAAACATAATCAAAACTGGAATGCCAAATCTAGGCAGCACTATTATGAGAACAACAGTCCCTTTATATTCTGAAATAATTTTCTAAAACAGAATACATCCTTCAGCATAGACTGTGTGGAAAACCTACAACCAAACAAAACCTAATGGCTGTTAAGGCTTTAGTCTGACTACCTGCATTTAAATCCTGGCTCCACTTACCAGTTTGTGAGCTTCAGACAAGTTACTTAACTTTTCTGTGCCTCTCTCATCTTGGGGTGGGGATGATAAGAGCACCTACTTCATAGGGTTGCTAGGAAGATTCAGTGAGATAATCCATGTGAAATGCTTGGCATAGAGCCTGGTACAGAGTAAGTACTCAAAAAATTTAGCTATTGTTATTATTGTTATTTTTATTAAGTAGCCTTAATAAAGTTGTATAACATGGTGGCTGTTCCCTTGTAACTAGTGAGTGAATGGTGTGAGAGTTTAGTGATTACTAATGTAGATGCCATAGGACTGCCTTACAATGCATTTTTTGAGTCCGGATCAGAAGTCATTTGGATTTGTTCTGTATAACAAGCAGTGATGAGGAAATCTGCAAGGTCAAAACTTGTGTCAGAGACAGAGAGTACTTTTAGGGTTTATTTTTACTTTTATAACTTTCTTTTTGGTAGTGGTGAGGCCAGAAAGCATTAACCTATACCCGTGACCTTGACTCAAATACAGGAACAAACACAAATCTGCCATTGTTTCAGAACTACCTTCAGGAGGCTCATGAAACTCAGCTTTATGTACTGCTTACCTACCCTGATGCTAAAATAACCTGCTCTTCACCAAAGGCTGGAGCAGAATAGAATGAACATAAAGGGCTGGGACTGAGTGATAATCAAGTATGCATTAGGATCCTGGATAGCAAAACACAGAATAGATTTTAGTGAAACAGAAAGAAGTCAGGAGGTCAAGCAAGAAATTAACCATGTTCAGAGCAAGGCTGAGATTCTGGGGAGGCAGAAGGCAAACAATAAGACAAAAGTTCCAAAGGTCAATGAATGCAAATGTGTGGCATCCAAAAATGGATAGCATTAGGATACAGACTCCCTGAAGCCATTCTGTCACAGCATGTTGGGGCTAGAAGAGCACAAACATAGACCAGGGCAGAGAAACCAGAGATGGGCGGCTAGATCCAGCCATACATCCATTTACTGGTCCTCAGGGGCAGCAAAAATTTGCAAAACCAATCCATCTAGGTATCTCTGATTTTCCAAGGAAGGTATGGGTACTTAGGTCCCCTGTCAGGAGAGTCCAAGGTGCTTTAAGGCATACTAGGAGTAGGACCCAGGGCTGGAGAAAGTTGTTGTTAAATTAGGTAGGATTAACATCTAGGTTGCAATCCTCAAGAGGGAAAAAGTAGGAGAAAACTGGTCAACAGTGGCAGATCCCAAAAAGAAAGTTCAACTAGGTATCTGGATTATTTCTAAGAGATCTGATAGTAGATGCTAAAGGCATCTCTAGGACACATTAAAAACTTAGTGTGGGGCAGCAGCTTATTGAGACAGGGACGGTGGGTGTAGTCAGAGTAGGGTGAGGGCCGCCAGAAAAAAGCAAGGCAGGATATTTGCAGTCAGAGCAATGTAACTACATGCAAAGAAACCTCCTACTAAAACTCTGTGTTAAACATTCAGCCCTAGAATCATTCTTCAGTAAGATCAGTTGGTGTACCCCAGATAAAGAAGAGTAGCACATGTTTATTTTATGCTAATCATTTATAATCATGTGTAAGATTCACTTTAACATGCTAAAAGGCCCAGGCCTATGTGCTGTCTTTCCTCCTTCAGATCTGATGATTTTGCAAACTGGGCAAACTAATTTAGCATGCAGGCCCAGCCAGAACACAGTAGAAGGCAAGAAGGATTCTACCTTAAAGATAAGATTGCACTTAAGTTACTCTTTAGCAAACAATGCCTCAGCCCACCTTGGGGGCTGAACAGGTAGCCTTGTTTCATATGTCTCCAGACCAAGATGCTGGTATTTCAGGGAAAAATCAACAGAGCAGGAGGTTACTTGTATCAAGTTAATTGTAAACATCCTAGGACCACTTAATAAGTCCACACCCCTAAACTTCTTTTCATGTTCTCGAAAAATCCTCAACTGACTATAAAACCCCCTAGACAACGTGCCACTACGAACTCTCTTGCCTCCTCCTGGTGTGAGCCGGGAGCTCCGTCCTTTCACTTTATCTCTCAATAAAAGCCTGTACCTTGCTCTCCTACCTTGAATGTTTGTGAAGCTCATTCTTCAGTTTTGTGAACAAGAACCCTGGCATCATTATCTTCAAAACTTCTTTACTGGTGGGGAGTAATTCTTAATGACAGCTAACCCTTGAAGTCAGAGGCTTCTTGACTCCTTCAGACAAGTTTTGTCTCCCTGACATACGCTTGCTTAACATCTGTACTTCCAACAGTTGACTTGTTCAGCAGTTTTCCCCCTCATACTACAAAGAGGCTGAATGTGAATGAATGAATGATTGAGTGAATGAATGAACTGGGCCTTGATGTGGGTGTGGATGAGCCAAAAGGACTAGTAGCACCTTTATCTTATGTTACCCCTTTCTGAGAAGTAAGTGGTGAAGCAAGGAGGAGGTAGGACAGAGGGAGTGAACGGGAGAGACATGATTCCTTTTTGGTCAGTAGGGTGTTTACTTTTCTCTCCCCAACAGTAATCAGATAGATGGTGTGGGTAAAATTGGAACATTTCCAGAATATCTCGCCTGGCTTTAGTATATCTGCATATCAGTAAGTGTTCATAGGTGGAAAGAAGTATGGCTTTAGTGCATTTGCATCTTTCCTCAGGGGTGGAGAAGTTCATCTCCATATCAATGGGTGATTACCTGGGCAACAGAGGGTTTATCTGCGAGGTGAGGGGGAGGGCCAGTGTTGTGGTTGCTGCTTGAGCAGAGAAGAAAGATGGCCTGGGACTGTAGTTTGTGAGCAATAAACAGATTTTAAACTTTATTTCTCCCTTTGACTGATTTTGGTTTTTAGAGGTATTTTGCCCCGGGATTTCCTTTCCCTGGACTTACAATTGGCATAAGTTGGCAGGGTTCCTCTGAACCCGAAATCTGTCATAATGGGTGCGACCTTTGGGAGGCCCGCCCCTAGAAATGATGGGGAGAAGCGGCACTCGCGCTGAGGGACATGTGCCCACACTCGTGTGGTGGTGGAGGTGCCACCACCGCTGCTGGCCGTGTCTACCCCGGCCTGTGGCCTTAGCCTAAGGCTACTGCTTCTGCCACTGCTGCTGCTCTTGCTGCCCGCCGGAGCCTGGCCACAACCATGGAAAGGAGCAGAGGTCCGGGTCACCTTGAAGCAACTGGCTGCTGTGTACCACAACTTGCTGGCTACAGAGCCCATCACTGGAACAGCTCTGACCAAGGTAATAATCTTCTATCCCATTGCGGGGTGGGTGCAAGACTGGACCCAAAGGCCACGGAGTGGTGTGGTACAGACACCTCAAAAGACAATGTGGGCCCATTGGTGTGGCTTGTCTTTCACCTTTGAAGAAGTCAGCTGAGCCCAGAAGGAGTGCCCTGTGCGTTGTGCAGATCAGCAAACCACCAAGAGGGGCCTAGAGCATCTCTCTGCAGCCTATGGTCGTTCGCCGGTTACTGAAAGCAATTGAGGTACCCATTTTATTGGACATGTGGTGCAAGGATGGGTGCAGCAATTAGGAGTAAAATGGACGTGGCCCTGGACATTTCAACACATGGATCGGCGATGGCTGGCTCTTCTGGCACCTTGGGGAAAAGGCCTGGAAGCTGGTCTTCTGTGTATTCCTGTAATAACAGCAAATTGGCCCCTGACAATCATGGTTATTTGCTTCTATGGTCTTTGTGTCCTGGATGCACCCCCTGGCTGCAGCTGCCGCATGATGATTGGAATGGATGAGCTTTGGACTTAACTGCATGGGACTTTGAACCTAGCTGAATCCTCTGGTTTGAGAATTATGATTGTGTTGCTGTTGTTAAGAAAATAATGTTTAAAGAGAGGCTTGACTTTGTCTAACGTTTGGTAAAAGTTTTGTGAGCAATCTAGCATGATTGTTAGGAATGAGTAAATAAGTGTAGAAACATATTTTTGTGCTTAGTGAGAGATTGTGCTGTAAAGTAACCTAGCTGAATCCTCTGGCTTGAGGATTATCAAGATTTTATTGCCGTTGCTATTGCATGTTACTAGATTGGTTGGAAGAGGGGGATGGAGTAAATTGTAAGGCAAGATTTCTGGAGGGGTGGATTGTGGGTAAAACTGAAAAATTTCCAGAATATCTCACCTGGCTTTAGTATATCTGCATATCAGTAAGTGTTCATAGGTGGAAAGAAGTATGGCTTTAGTGCATTTGCATCTTTCCTCAGGGGTGGAGAAGTACATCTGCATATCAATGGGTGATTACCTGGGCAACCGAGGGCTTATCTGAACCTGAGAGGTGACGGGGAGGGCCAGTGTCATGGTTGCTGCTTGAGCAGAGAAGAAAGACAGCCTGGGGCTTTAGTTTGTGAGCAATAAACAGTTTTCAAACTTTATTTCTCCCTTTGACTGATTTTGGTTTTTAGAGGTATTTTGCCCTGGGATTTCCTTTCCCTGGACTTACAAATGGTTACATTAGATGTAACTGGCTTAAGGGGAGGGCAGACCATGCTAATAACTGAAGGATTTTCACAAAGCTTGTCCACAGACTCCTGGGGTCTCTTGCTATGAACAGATTTAGTTTCAGTTTTCTCTATTGCTACTAACTCAGAAAGATCAGGAGACTCAGCTTTATGTACCCTCTCATGTATTCATGCAGCTGCAAAAACAAGCTGCTCTTCTGGCATTCTGGAGGAAGGCTAGGCTGTGAAAAAGGAGCCTGAGATTGAATGACACCAGGTAGGCGTGAAGTTCCTGCACTGCTGGATGTAATGCTACCAAGTCTGGATTTCCTCCCCATTCTTTAAGCCAAAAAGGAGGGCACCCATCAAGTTTAACTGGATAGTTACTTGGGACCTTGTAAGAGTAATTTTGTCCCATCAAGCTGAGTCTCAGGTTTGCTTGGACTTGAAAGGGTGTACCTTGAGGTCCTCATCTTTAGTTCACCTGCTATGAGCAGAGCTAGTCTGAAATCTCAGGGACCAGCCCTGTTCTCTCCTCTAGCTACCGGAGTTGAGATTTCCTTATTCTTACTCATCTACTCAGTGGGCACCTGTATGAACTGACTTCCCTATCAGGCTCTATTTTTGTGGTCTGAATTAATGCCATCCTCCTCATGGCAGCCCCCAGAATGCTCAGCATAAGGCCCAGGTTTTGCTGGGGAATGTTTCCTCTGCTCTTATACAGAGCTTCTAAAGCAGCTTCCCCCAGGGAGTGGACAAATTCCCTTCCTTCTTTCTTCTTGTCACTTTGGAAGAATTACAAATCTTTTTGACCTTCCATTTCCTCCTTGTAATTTGGGGACAATAATTCATGTCTCTTAGTATTATCATGAGGAATGAATAATATTCCACACATAAATGCCTAGAACAATAACTAGCACAACAAAGGAGCTTAGCAAAAGGAAGCTGTTGATGTTGTTATAAGCAGGTTCACAGTTGAGTGCCCCTTCATCCTCTATACCCTTACACTCTTCTTGAAGGTTTCAAGTTTAAAGAAAGAATGCATGGACTCTGCTGCTGGCCTGTCTAGGGCTGGCTACCCCAATTCTGGGATGTTTCACCCAGGGCTCATATGCCTAATCTGTGTGAAAACAAAAGATGTCTCCTGGTTGAGGGTTCAGAGTCCATTCTTTCTACTATTGGTTCAAGACACACATGCTTTCTTCTCTCTCACTCCCTCCACTTAGAAGACTAGAGATAGAAATAACAAATGCGAAATCCTCTGGTTACTATGTACCAGGCATTGTTCTAAGAGCTTGACTATATTATCCGTGACACAGGGAGGTTAAGTAACTTGCCCAGCAACACACAGCCAATAAATGGTAAAGTTAGGATTTGATCCCAAGGTTCTAACTAGAGAATTGAGGGATGACCTCATGTTCTGCCCCTCTTCTACAGGGGACAAGATATTTCTGCCTCCCTTCAGGATAAAGTAGAGAATTGAAAAGAGAAACAACATGGAGTGAGACCATGTGATCACAGCTCACATCCCAGCTGCCTATTTCTGATCACCTCACTTTAATTTCTGTTAAATTTTCTGCTAATCCTTGAATTTCTGTTCCCTATTTTTTAAAGAGGAAATATGAAGCTCCTCATCACGCTGTTCTGGGGTTAAAATGGAATCACGTACATGAAAGTGCTCTGTGAACCATAAGGTGCTGTACAAATGATCAGTAAAGCAAAATAATTCTAAAACAAATATTCTAATTCCTTTGAAATACCTAAAAATTTAAAGTCAAAACAGCACATTTTTGCCTGAATGCTCAGACACTAACTTAATGTTGCATTTCACTTAAATTGTAGGGAACCATAGTTTCACATACAGTTCTGTTTATTTACACTGATTATTTGTAAGAGTCTTTAAATACCATTTGATCCTTTGAGAAATGAAAGCTTATGGGAAAATAAGTTTGTTATTCTGATAAGTTTTTAATGACAAACTATATTTTGGATTGTTCTTTTTTTCAAACTGGAAAGTTCACTTGGCTTAATAACTGGATAAAGACTTACTCTGCTTTTTGTTTTTGGTTTTTAGACTGCTGGAGAATCTTCATGCCCATCTTAAATATGTGGTCTCCTTCATCTGTGAAATTTTTCTTTGCATGTCCTTTTACTATATATGGACAAATAAGGAAAAATATTATTATTTTATGTTAATATTTAAAAAATAATGTGCTGGCATATACATTTTGGGTTTTGCTCTTGAAAGGGTTCAGAAAGAGCCTCCACAAAATGTGCCACTTTGGCATGTGGATTATTATGAGCTGAAGACGATCAAGGCCCAGAAATCTCAGGAAATGCTTTTTACCTCCCTTAACTGCCTTAAGAATTTAGATAGAGGGCCTGCTCCAAGAAGAGAGCTATCACCAGAGATAACTGTAGAGTATGGGCTAGGTCTGTTATGCTCTTCAGAGCTAGCATGACATATTTATTCACATTCTTCTCAGTGTCCCATTGTCTCTCTGTGGCCTCTCTGACAAACATTTGTTTACTGAATATTTGCTCTTCCCAGCTTCCTGTGAATTATCCTCCTTCTGTTTGAAGCCTCAGACCTTAGCTGCTTCTTAGCGCAGGATGCCTATAAGCCTCAGTTGCTTGACTGTCTTGGAAACTCTCATGTCTTTGTAGGTCCCTGTACATACAAAATTAAAATTTTTTTCCTCCTTTTAAACTGACTTATGTCAATTTTATTAATAGACCAGCCAACAGAACCTAGAAGTGTAGAGGTCAAAAATTTCCTTTCCTACATTCTATTTCTTTAACCTCTGCCATTTCAAGTATTATCTTGCCTTTAATTAGAAGGTAGAGCTGCCTGCAAAAGTACTCTATTACTGTCTTTTGTGAAAGGGTCTGGATCATGGAGGAGATAGAGGGATGCTACTGATGGTAGGAGGGAGAGAGATACTCCCAGTCTGGGAAAGGGATGCATGGTTCTACAAGCAAGATAGCAGGAAGCAAGGTCTCTAGGGAAGGGAAGGGTTCCCTGGTGTACCTTAAAGTCAGCTGCTTGGACACCAGGCTTTCAGCTCTCACATTTCATCATCTGAAGATGGTCCGTAAACCTCACAGCCATAAGATTCAAATAGAATATGAGGACCTGAGCATTGGTCATCTCCTAGATGGCCAATGTGCACCTAGGATTGGGGGAGAGACTCTCCCTGAAAATTTTGCTCTGCCCAAGGCTCCCTTTAACTCCTGCAGAACCTTTCTAAGATCTTGGGGAAGACACACAGAAAGAACACCAATAATCTGTCATGGGATGGGAATTTAGAGTCAATTTTATAGTATTTAAAGAAAATAAAGAAGTGGAATTTTACCTGCTTCTCAAATGTTTGAGATTTCATATAACAATTCACAATATTTAAACTATCATCACTAGTTTAAAGAAGGGGAAAGCTGGAGGGAGAGTCAGCCTAAGAGCCACCACTCCACCTCCAACACACAAACACACAACCACAACCTTCCACAACATCGCAGTGTCTCCAAGTCCATTATGACACTCGGTGAAACTTGTGTTTAGGTGAACCATGCCTGATACCATTTTTAAAAGGAGAGGCATTCCGGGATTTGATGCCTCATTAACGAGATCATAAAAAACTTGTTTTTCTTCTTCCTGACAAACTATCCAAGTTGTCCAGTTTGCTTTTTAAATTAAAAAATTTTTTTAAACTTAAAAGCCAATTTACAATTATTTTGAATGCTTCAAGTTATCTAATCAATTGTAGTAACTCCAGACACTTTAAGCATCTAATTTTTGCTTTGAGTTGTATTTCATCTATCCTCATGATTATAGAGGAAAAATAATGGCAAAACCTAACAGTAGGTGTTTGCAATAGCAACTGCACCTACTAACATGCTTTCAAAGAGCAGGAAGAAATTTTGAAAGGTTGATACTGCAGGCATGAACATCTGATAAATGATTTACTACCACAGATTTCCACCCATGGCTTTTACTTTTATTTGACATTCTTTTTTTGGCTTCCCAATGTCAACTAAGAAAAAGAAACAAAGGTTTTATTTGGGAGGGTCTAAGAATTGAAATTTGCGTAGCACAGATTCTGGCAGCAACTAGAGAAAGTGTCCTGCCTCCATGGGGAAGCAAGGAGTTTTTATGAGAAAGAGGAAGGGGACAATTACACGGCTTGCACAGAGGAGGAGAAAAGGAATTATTGACTGGGTACTAACAGGCTGAGCTGTTTCATTAACACTTTTTTTGACTGATTTATTAGTGCTATCAAGTGAAACAAGTCCTGGTATGCCTTAATTCACTACCCTGTCTCCCTATAGTCCATATTGACAGTTTTTCTTCATGCTCTCTTCTTGGATGCTAGTGGCCCTGTTGATTTTATGATCAGTCACTTGTAAAAGACAACTTTGTTTCTGGCCTAGGTCAAAATGTCTTTTTGCCTAGTTCAAAAGTGCATTAGTTAGAAAGGAAAATGGAGTTTCATAATGGGGTCCCTCATGCCCAGAGATTTTATACAATTCCCTACCAAATATATTGAAATACACGTTTTCTTTGCTAGAAGAGGGCTTGATTATCAGATGTTATTCTGACAACACTTTAGTTTCCTTTTTTCCGGTTTAATGATCTCCAGATCTGGGGAGAACACAGTCAGGAAATGACCTGAAGAGATCATCCTGAACTTTATGTTAAGGACCTTAAATAGTCTGGAGTCCTCTGAATGGAACTCAATAGATGCCTGTTGCTCTGTCCTGCTAGGGGCTCTAAGCTAAATGAGAAGTGGTATGGATTAGAGGATCATGAATCAAAGAGGGCAGGATAGGTATGCCAGAACACTATTTAAAATAGCAATAAGTGTGGAAAGTGCTTCAAGTAAATGAATTTATATTTCAGTGTTTGTAGAGAGTTCCTGACATTTTGCTACATCTGCAGTATTAGGTGCATTCCATATCTAACTTGGATGCTGTTTGGGGCTGAATTGTGTCTGCCCAAATTCATATGCTGAAGTCTCAACCCTCAGTACCTTAGACTGTAACATTATTTGGAGATAAGATCCTTAAAGAGGTGAGAGAGTTAAAATGAGGCCATTAGGGTGGGGCTCCATGCCAATATAACTGCTGTCCTTATAAGAAGAGGAAGAGACACCAAGGGTGTGTGGGGGAAAGGAACATGTAACGATGCTGCATCTATAAACCATGGAGAGAAGGCTTAAAATGAAACCAACGTTTCCCACACCTTGATCATGCACTTCTAGATCCTGATCTAGAAAATTAATTTCTGTTGCTTAAGCTGAAATTATTGATGGTATGTAGTTATGGCAGTCTTGCAAACTAATAGATGCCAACTCTGGATTGCATGGAATACAAGCTGCCTCTTTTCCCTATAAGAAGGGATGCACCCCAACTTTGCTTCCTATCAGATCAGTGGCTACCTTCTCTAAGCAGAAGGTACTATAATTTCCCATGGATCCCCAAGGTCTCCAGGTGCTGGGTATCTGACTTTCCTAGGAAGCTGGATGCCCAGGTAGCCCAGCTCTGACAAGGCCACTTTCTCATGACTATACTCTAAGTAGGCAGTGTAGTAGGTAGGCTCCAGACTTCAGCCACCTTACTCTAAGTGAAATAAATAAGTCTTCACAGATGAAATGACAGTTTAGATAGTTATTGAAAGTTGGGTATGAGTTTGTCAGGCCAAGAAGAAACTGGCCATTTGGAGGAAACGGTCAATGCAAATTAACCATACGTATGAAACAATGGTGGGGGGATAGTGTGTCTTAAATGAAAAGTGAGGGCTTGGGTGTTGTGGTTGGTCATGTGGTCCAGGCTGGCTGTGGAAGAAAGCATAACTGAGGGGAGTGGACAGAAGGGTGAAGAGGATATGGGAGGAGGGAACTGAGGTCATTGTGAAGGTGAAGGTAGGTTTGGTAGAAGAAAGAGAGAGAGCAGAAGTGTCAAGAAGGCAGCTCTGATTAGAGACAATTATTTTTGACTTTGAAGTTATATTGGTGAAATAGCTGTACATATACCTGGTAAGTGACTGAGGAGAAATACAGACAAAGATTATTGTAATTAGGGAGGTCTAGCAAACAGGGCAGGTCTTCAACATGGATATTTAATGCCCTAGGGTGCTAGAGAACTATAGTCATTGACTGATAGATGTGGGGTGTAACAGCCCAACCCCCTCACCTAAGTGAAGGGGCAATCCTCTGGTACAATTCACTCTTCAAAACCCTAAACTTCTCCTGAAACCTGTCTTTGCTCAGCTCTTTCCCTTGCCCCATCCTTCATTCCTCTCTCTTACATATTTCACAACAAAATAAAAACTTTAACATTTAAATTTAAATAATGCCACCTAAAACATCTAGGAAAAAAAGGCAAAACAATACATTCATTATTTTGAATTTCAAATTATAGTTACATCATGAACCACATAAAGGATCATTGAGAGTTAGAAGAAGTAACAGTTAAGCTAGAAGAGGAATGTCTTTTGGTTTGACTAAAAATCAAGTGCTTTCACCATTAAAATGAGACAAGGAGATAAAAATGGGAAATTCTTCCCCTGAAAAAATCTTGCCTACACAGACACTGCATCCTTCATATCTAATTTCAATTATATTTAATATAAACCAACTTCAGCTTCTGATTTTCTGAATAATGCATTAGAAGAGCTCTTCACATTTGCCCTAATGTGTGCCAGGAAGATACAATCCCAGATAAAAAGAGAGAATAACAATCCATTACTAAAAATAGCATTCCATCCAAGAAAGAATGATTCAGCAGAGTTTAGTCAGATAAAGATCAACTCAAATGCACTTGAATAAGAGCGTAGATATTTACAATAATCAAGCTGATTCATGATGTCTCCAGATCATTGTTGTCAAACATAAATACCTCCAGTGGTATTGCTAGGAAATGGTACACAAATCATATTATAAGTACAGAAACATTTTTCTTTTCAAATATCTACTAAACAAAGCTTGAAATGACAGAGATTCTGATGTACAAAGATTTAATTCACTATCTAAAACTCAATTTATCAGAAAGAACTTTGTAAAACAAATAAAAAATTAAAACCAGTATGTATTATCGTAGGAGCTAACATTCACAAAGCACTGAGGCACAGGGTGGTTTT